CGCTCGACATGCACACGTTCTACACGGAGAAGCTGTGCATTGACGCTCGCCAAGTGCAGACGATGAAGTGGGACGAGGTGCTCGCCCAAGTGCGTGCACTGCTGCCCTCGCGTAAGGCCGCGACCGCGCCCACGACCGCGGATGCATACGAGCTGCAGATCGACCCGCAACTGCTCGCGACGCCGCTCGACGCGGCCCGGCGCATCATGCGCAAGGAAAACTACCTCATTGCGTTTCTCAATTCGCCGCTTCTGCAAGTGTCGTTGCCGCTGCCCGCTTGGCTGCCGACCATGTCGTCGCACGTGCTCTTCTCGCGCAACATGGAGTGGAACCTCCACGTGTGCGTGCTTGACCACCTTCTCGACGCGAGCGGCCACCTCGGGCTCCGCGACGCCAAGGCACTGGAGAAGCGGCTCGTGACGGTCGGCGTCATCAACCTTGTGCTCACGCCCTTCTTGCTGCTCTTCCGCGTCATCCAGTTCTTCCTTCTCTCGACGCAAGAGTGGTATTTGCACAAGACGTCGTACCTGAGCGCGCGCCGGTGGAGTCCGCTCGCGATGTGGACCTTTCGCGAGTACAACGAGCTACCGCACGTGTTTGACACGCGCATGGGCCAAGCGTACCCAGCCGCAGAGGCGTACCTCGCGCTCTTCCCGGCGGGCGTCGTGTCGATCCTCGCGACCGGCGTCTCGTTTTGCGCCGGCTCGATCATGGGCGTCCTCGTCGCACTGAGTGTTGTTGAAGAGAGCATTTTGCTCGAGGTTGAGCTCGGCCAGCGCCAACTCTTGTGGTACCTCACGGTCGCGACCGGCGTCTTTGCGCTCGCACGGACCTTCCACGCGACACCCCGCTTTATGACGGGCGAGAATTGCGAAGACGCAATGGCGCGCCTTGCCGCCGAGACGCACTATTCGCCGCCCGAGTGGAAGGGGTATGTTGGGTGCTACTTGATACATTGATACGGAGATGGCTGTAGGCACTGCCACACGTACGCGACGCGTGACGCGCTGCTCACGCTCTTCCCGTACAAGGCCGTGCTCTTCCTCGAAGAGTGCGTATCAGTGCTCTTGACGCCGTACATGCTCTGCCTCGCCTTGCCGCCATTGGCCGACGACATAATTGCATTTTGCCACGACCACTCGACGACGCTGCCGGGCGTCGGTGCGGTCTGTCGCTACGCCGAGTTTGACTTTGGTACATATGGCGCTGAGCCCAAGATGGAGAGTTCGTTCCTCAACTTCAAGGCCAACCACCCGTCCTGGATGGGCCCGGCCGAAGGCGAGCAGTTGGCCGCCGACCTCACGCGGTTCCGCGGCGAAGAAATGGACAAGTCGCTGCGCATGGGCGACTCGCTGCTCGAGAGCGCGACGCTGCGCGAGTCGATGTTCCAGCCCATGTCACTCTCGCACCAGCTGCTGCAGTCGCAGGCCATCACCATGGCCATGGGCGGTCCGCACTCGAGTGAGTATTACTGGCTCCAAAAGGTAGAGCTCTATTATGCGTGGAAGAAAGAGACCGAGTCTTTTGTGCTAGTACCACGAACGCAATGGCCGCCAGCGCGAAGAGACGAAGGAAGAAGAGATGGACGCGAGCCTCAGCATGTAGGATCCGTCGCCTGTGGGCAGACTGGCGTCATGGACAACTTGAATATTACGTGAGCTTGCTTTGTTGAGACACTGGCATGTTGCCGACCGATTCCGAGTCTATCGAGTTGCGCTCGAGCCACGAGGATCTCGTGTGTTTGGTGAGAGCTGTGGAGAGCAGTCGGTGTCCACTTGAGCCCAAGCCTTCGCCACCAGTGTTTGCAGGCTCGTCTCTGTCTTGCAGCACACGGCCTTGGCCACTGATGGTCCTAGACGTTGAGGTACGAGAGGACCTCTTCGCCGAGCTTGTCGAGGTCGCTGCGCGCCTTGGCCCAGACCTGGGTCGACTCCGCTTCGGATACGTCGAGCGCTCGCTTCATACCTCTAAATCTTGATTGCGTATGCGTGCTATCCTCGCCGCCTTGGCATGCTCAACGCTCAAACGCTGTTTCCTATGACTCAACGCGACTGGAAGGCTACTCATGTGGCGTCGTGAACGGTACGTGGCTTTGGTGTTGCCCAAGTGACGAGCAAGGTGCTAGTAGCAACGCTGACGAAGTCTTGGCCCATTCCATCTACCTCTCCACCCTGCGCAGTAATGCGATCCTAGGACAACAAGACGCCTGCTTTGGTCGGCCGAGGGCCCTTTCTCTTCTTCACTTGGCCTTGGCGTTGCCAAGGTTGGCTCTGTCGCGACGGGTGGTCTGTATGTAGCCTGTGCTGGTGACTCTGCCTTGTGCATACTTGGTGTCGCACATGACACGCGCTTGAGTCTCAAAGAAAGAGAATCTCAGCGTCCGCTTCCATCAAAGGGAGCAACGGCACACAACGTGGACAAGGTGGGGACATGGGACGAGGCCTCCGGTACCGTAATCTCCTAATGCGACGCTGGGTCGTGCTCGTCCAGGCGCGCTGCGGTCGCGTCTCTGAGGTACTACTAGCGCCAAGCACATGAGTACGACGACATTATTACTTGCCATCCCAAGCGGTATCCCGCGCTCCAATATTGGAAATCTTGGCGCCCGCGGCTTTTTTGTCGGGCGCTTGGTCATACGATTGGAGCATAGAAGGTGTATTAGCCGTAGACAGAAAGCGACACGCGAGCATCGACGCGGGGATCTGAGTCGCATGTCTCGTCCAATATCATGGTCCAATATTGCGTCCAGTGAGTGCAACTGCCCGCCTGCGTAATCGCTCACATAGCCGTCCATCCATCGGTACCGTTCAGCAGCACAGAAGGCGCTCACGAGACACGACTGGGATTAGGAGACCGGCTTTGCGAACGTAATTTGGCTTGTCGTCCGAGCTCGGTACAAACCGGCGCCGAAAATTACCGGACCGTGCACTGGTGGCTTCTTCAATGGACGTTCTGGCGTCTCGCGGATCCAAGAAGCCTCGAGAATCCACGAACAACGGTGCATGATCAAACAAGAGACGATGCATCCGACGCGCACCTGCGCTGCTTCGTAGAGCTACATGAAGGAATATCTCGATGCACTCTAAACTTTGACTTTGTCCAGCGGGCTGCGCCGGCGCAAACTACATTTGCCGAAGAGCGAAGATCGCAAGAAAGGACGACACAAACTGCGTTTCATTGGCTATCACCCAAGATGATTTTGGCCAATCCACGTCTTGTTCCGCTCTTGCCCGTTGGACTTGGTGGTGATTCGCACGATTACGGGTCGTTGGCGCTCACGTCGACTCGGAAGATGATTAGGTGGGCGTCCAACTCGGAAATAAATTTTTGAAGTGCGGTCCTGCGTCAGGTCCTGCGTGCTGGGATTGCGTTCCGGCAGCTGCGTTCCGGCCTTGGCTGCGGCTGCCAAAGACCGTCCCTTCGCCACGTCGCCACATACATTTTCCGCTCGCGAAGGAATCTAGCATCCTTCCCTCACCTTGCATGAACGGGTCATGCTGGGTGCGGCCCGATCAGAAGCACACGCCCGCGTCCAAGTTGTTCTGATTGGCTGAAACCAGCTGCAGCGCTAAGAAAGAGCCAATCATCAACGCGATAATTCATACAGCGTCCGCCACATGGCTCGCAACGAGGAGCTTGCACTGGCGGACTGCTGTATGTCTCTGGGCTACTCAAATTGTACATACCGGTACCGGGAGTCGTCGTCCTACGATCTGGCGCCGAGTACACGGCGCTGGGACCCACGCATGGCCCGCGTCTTTGGCGACGAGACCGGCTCCTCGATCGTTTATGTCGCCGTCACCGCGTGTCGCAGGCGCCTAGCGTGCATGTCCCACGCTGGTAGCTTCGAACTTCGATGTAATCCCCCGAGCACCAATCCAACGGCCGTTGGATCGAAGTTGCCGTGGCAAAGGCTGGTTGAACCTTCCAAAGCAGCGCGCAATCTGGGCACCATTCCCCAAATTTGCTTGTACGAAGAAAGCATGGCCGTCTTTGTCGAAAGCATTAGCCCGATCCAAGCCAAGGTCGTCGCCGTCGGCGTCCTTCACAGCGTCACTGTCTACGTCATTCGCGTGCACCACGGCGACGACGTCTGGTACATTGCGCGCCGCTACTCGGAGTTCCACGAGCTCATGAAGACGATCCAAGCGGTCTCGGCCACGACTGTGTGCGACGTTTCGACGCACTTTCAGACCTTTGGCATCATCGAATCCTTCCCGAAGAAGAAGCTCTTCAACACGCGGTCGCTCGCGCTCTCGCGCCTCGAAGAGCTGCAAGAGTTTCTCAAGACGATCCTCATGGCCACCCAAGGCTTGACGTCCGACGTCGACGAAGCGTGCTCGATGGCCCACGGCGTGCGCGCGTTCCTTGAAGCGCCGGCGTCGCCGACCACGTCGCCGTCCCACAGCAACAAGCGGGACACGAACGCGCGCATTTTTGGCCAGCTCAGCGCCATCTACAAGAACGAAGAAGAGCTCGACGAGAGTAACAACGTCGTGCGCCAGAGCCATCTGCGCAGCAAGAGTGCGCGCAGCCTCCGCGACTCGATCGACGCCACCCGCGACTCGTCCTACTACCGCAGCATGAGCGTCGATCTCCAGGGCTAAGTCGCTCTCGCTTCTATCCGTCCTCGTCCTCCGTGTATTTAAGCTTTAATGTCGACTGCCGTTCCTTTTTAACATACTTTGGCGCGATACCAACTTGCGTGATGTACCCTACGCCCAGTTGGTGCACAAGCACTGCCGACTATAGGTCAAGGCATTTAGCCCGCCACATGAATCGTTGGCTGATGTTACATCAAGCACGAGCATGGGCGCGGGCAGGAAGGGAGCGGACGAGTATGATCCCGGTGACTTTCTCGACGAATACTATCGCTGAATTATCGTGGGACTGAATTTGATCAAGTCAGTGTATCCGGACTATCACTTTATCCGGATATCAAAGTGCATGTTGAAGTCACGGAGGACGCATCGCGCCCAGTTGGGCCCGGAGTAATATATGTCGACCAACATGGTATGGCGATTCCATAGTATCGTTATGACAAGAGAATGTACAACACCACGAAGAGTTGCTCCTGGACGCCAATATCACTGGCAGTGTAGACACAATGTCCACGAACGCGCGGTCGCTTACTCTGCGCTGGCAGTGCCTTGCTGCCGACCGAGTGACGCGGTGGCGTGGGCAAAGAGAAAGGCGATTTCTTCGCGTTGAGCTTCGAGTACAGCGTTCTTGTCGCGGATCGCTTGGAGATCGGCGCTCGAGGGCTCATTGGCGCAAGTGCATGCGTGCAAGCAGTCGTCCATACGGCGTCGCAGTCGCTGCGCCGTCGCCTCGAGCTGCTTGAGCTTGTCGACGATTGGGTCGCCGACGCTTTGCGCAAGCAAGTGGTGCTCTTCGTTGGCGTTGCCAAACGGCTCGAGCGACTGCCAAAACTTGAAGCGGCGTGCATTTTCCTACGTCCCAGACAACTTGTCCACAATCGGTTGCACACATTCCCTACCTCGGACGCGGCATTACTATGGCGCACGCGCTTCCAGCGCCACCACGACCAGACCGCTTTGGCCGAGATCGTCTGCAGCCGCTGTTGCGCGAGGAGCTGCTGAATGTACCGCGCCACGAGCCGGCCTTTCTCGTTCAACCCAAAGTTGTGCAGAATCGCGACCACGACCATAGTCTCGAGCGCAATACCCTAGAGTCACTCCCAGCATAATTTTTGTTTCAAAATGCGCGAATCGATTGATTGCCTACCAGGACGAGCATGATGGACGTGACAAAGTAACCATTTCCAGAGATCGGGTCCGTGCCGGGGAGCCCCTATCACCATGGATCATGACACAGTATGTCATCGACTAGTTACGTGGGTCGTCAGCGTACAAAAGCTAAACCAAATCGCATTGGGAAATGAAAAGGCCTCTGGTTGATACACGCGTTCAAACACATGCACCGACGTCGAGAGCGTCGCGAGCACAAAGAGGTAAAACGCGAGGATAAACTGCAGCGGCGCCTTGCCAAAGTCGAGTTTGACCGATAAAAACCAGTTGAACGTCGGGCTCGTCGAGGTTAAAAAGCAATTCTACGCAGGATGTCGGTCCAACGAGTCGCGAAATGCGCTGTGCAATACCTCGAGGATCAGCTGGCGCTTGCGGTAGACGGTCGAGTGGTCGCGGTACACGCGCGCGAGCAAGTAGAGCCGAAAAAACATTAGACACGACGCCGACTGGTACAAATACGCGTCGGCCCACGGCGGCTACACCACGGAAGAATTTTGCACACTCCGAATATTGACGTAGAGTCGTACGGGGTGGATAAGGACAAGCCCCACTTCGAGGCTTCCGCGCCAGAGCAGCCCCGTATCAAAGAGGCACCGACGAAGGGCGCTCGACGCTGCCTGAACAACCGACAACGTCGGCGCCGAATCGACCATTTTCTCGTGCGGCGGATGCGTCGCCCGGACGCCCTCGACGAACTTTGCTTCCCAGCGGTACTGCTCGGCGTAGAAGAGCCGGTAGAGGTCGATCAGCTGCAGCACGAGGAGACAGCTCGAGATGGAAATGACGGCCTTGATGATATTGGACGCGGTTGGCACCGTCAGTGGCACCCTAATAGCACCCGTAATAATGACAGTTCACTTGTACGCAGCACCGACATGCCAAGGTCGGGGTCGACGACGCGACTCGAGTAGGACCATGTCACGACCAATTCAGCGAGCGACAGGGCGAGGCCAAAGAGCCCATTGAGCAGGATCTATCATAGCCTCGAGCGTGGGCACCTTCCGAAAAGACACCAACATGGAGGTTTTTGCGGCGGTAAATCGGGTCCAGCGCCACGTGGCCGATGCGCGCTTCAATGTCGCTGATGCGGACGCTGCCAATGCTGTGGCCGGCGGCCCGCGCCTGCTCGTTGGCCTTGCGAACAATCGCATCCAGCTGCAGTTGCTGGACAAAGTCGCCTGCGATACGCCGAAGGGCGGCGGGGCTCGTCGCGATCGCCCGCCGACGCACCGCCTCGTCCGCCTACCACACATTTCGTCGAGTGACAGTGGTCCGAGCGAACCTCGGTGGTGCCATGATCGTTGGACGACGTCGACACACTCGACTCGCGAGAGACACCGTCCGCGCCGAATGGGCTCACCGGGTCTTCAGCCATCCGTACTGTGTAACCGAGTGAATAACGGGTCGAAAAGCAGAACCATTGCGGGCTATGAACTCGAGACATCGGTTGGACACGTAGCACCACTGCTCTTTACTGCAAGAAGCAACACGGGCCCATACAGAGATCAACCCTGGCGAGTGGCGACCGCGTGGGATTGGGTGCTCGAGGTTCTTTTACGCGGCTGGAGTGGTTCCGTTGCCAGATGTGGTAGGCTCGGTGCCAGATGTGGTAGGCTCCGTTGCCAGACGCACTTGCAGTCGACGGTGACGTCATTGAACCCCAGGACCTATGCTATCTCTATCACATACTGCAATACTCTAGTACGTGTTGTTCTTGGGCAGACGTCGGAGTGACTTTGCCAAGTTGGTTGCTTCGATCCGCACCCAGGGCGGGCCAATCACCGTCGAGGTCGGACTGTCTTTTGGCCAAGCTGGCGACGTCATTTTCGATTGTGATGGCGTCCGCCAAGCTCGTCGCCGTCATTGGCAGTGGCGCGGTGGGCCTCGCCGTCGCTCGGTCTGCGGCGCGTCGCGGCTTGCAGGTTATCGTCCTCGAGCAGCACGCCGGTAGCCTCCAAAGCGAATGCTGCGCCCGCTCATGCACCTCTGTCCTAGCCATTGGCATGGAGTGTTCGTCGCGCAACAGCGAGGTGATCCACGCGGGCTTGTACTATGCGCCGCAGAGCCAGAAGGCGGCGCTTTGCGTGCAAGGCAGACAGCTCATGTACGACTTTTGCCGCGACTTTCACGTGCCATTTCAGCGCTGCGGCAAGCTCGTCGTGGCGTCGTCGGCCGACCAAGTAGGTTCTACAGCCATGCGCCGTCGATTGCGATCTTGCTTGTTAGATGCAGCAGCTCCACGCGCTTCGGGCCAAAGCGAACGCGAACGGCGTCACAGACGTCCGCCTGCTCTCGGCTTCGGACGTGCATGCGCTCGAGCCCGACGTCGTGGCCCATGGCGTACGCTGAATGACTCGCCAAACGTCCAACGAGTGTTGCGTAGGCGCTATTGTCGCCGTCGACGGGTATTGTCGACTCGCACGCGTTCATGCTTGCTGTGCAAGGTACACGCTCTGTAGAATATGGGAATGCCATGGCATGCGTAGGAGACGCGGAGACCCATGGCTGCGACTTTGCACTCAACTGCACGGTTGCTGGTGGGCGCGCCAACGCCGACGGCACGTTTGACGTGGTGACGCACCCGACCAACGACCCGAGTGCCACCGATGTCATCACGTGCGACGCAGTCGTCAACGCTGCAGGGCTAGGCGCCCCGCGCCTCGCAGCGCTCTTTGAAGGTTCCGGTTCTTTCTTTCGAGCGACATGGAGTAAGCACTCGAATGGGCAGGCACACGACAGCCATTTGGCATCGCCGAGCCGACAGTGTTTGCCAAGGGCTCGTACTTTAAGCTCGGCGGCGTTGCCCGCGTGCCATTCCAGTAGACTCGACTCGGAAGACGCACGAGATATCGACATTTTGGACTAGGCACTTGATCTACCCTGTCCCTGAAAAGGGCGGTCTTGGCGTGCATGCCACGCTCGACCTCGACGGCAACGTCCGGTTCGGCCCTGACGTCGAGTGGGTTTCCGCCATCGACTACCAGGTGACGCGTGCTGTCTCCAACATACCAGTGACATTTTTGTCAGGTCAACCCCGACAAGGCGGCGGCATTTGCTGCTCGCATCCGCGACTATTGGCCAGGCGTCACAGACGCCGAGCTCATTCCAGACTACAGCGGGATTCGCCCCAAGATCGTTGGGCCTGGCGACCCGGACGCCGACTTTTGCATCCGCGTACGTCGCTAGTTGGTTGTCGTACCGTGCGCGGACGTTGACGCTGTAGGACGGAGCGAAGAAGGGACTCGTGCATCTTCTCGGCATCGAGTCGCCAGGACTGACGTCGTCGCTCGCGATCGGCGACGCTGTCGCCTTGCGTCTTGCGGCCCTTTAACAATGTACACGCTGTCCTTCTCGGACGCGTGCCACGTTGTTGGGTTATATACCATAACGTAGTGCTATTCTTTGGAGCTTAGCTACGACTCAACATGTCTTGCAGTGTGCGCAGGATCTCTTCATTTTGCCGCTGCACGCGCTCTTGGCTGAGCCGAACGCGCACAACGTCAGTGCTCTCGACCGCCGCCGCACTCGGTGCGTCCTCAGCGCTGGGTCGTCGGTCGTCGATCGGGGGGCTCGGTGAACGAGCAGCGATTGGCACGCGCACGGTCCCGAGACTGCGCGATGTTTGTAGCCGCGGTGCTGGCCTCCATGACGCCTCTCGCTGTGATAGGTCAAAGCCGTCCGTGTGGAGCTTGGCCCAGATCTGGAGGATCCACGCGTCGAGGCTCTGTAGCTTGTCGAGCACCGGGTCGCCGAGGCCTTGCTCGGTGAGCTTTTTCTTGTAGCGCGCAATGCGCATGGTGTCGAGCGCGCGCGTGACCTTGAGGAGGTGGCTGCGCCACTCGGCGGCGGTCAAGAGCGTGCGCTGCGCGCGCTTCCAGCGCAGCCACGTGACGATGAACGAGCCGGCCGCGGCCCGGATCGCGTCGTGGGCTTCGGCGCGATAGACAAACGCAAGCGCAATTTTGCCTTTTGCATCGAGTGAAATATTGTCCAGAATCGCGACAACCACGAGCGTATTGAGCACGACGCCCTAGCACCAAACGTGGTGAATTGACACTGCAAAATCCCCAATTCGCAGCGTATACCGCGAGGATGAGAAGACACGTGATGACGCGCGCCGTGTCGGTCGACACAGTGTACTCTTCAAAATCCTAGAGACCGAGCGATACCGCGTGTTGATACCAGTCGGAGCACGTACGAGCGTGAGCAAGGCCGTGTACACATACCACGTCGAATTGACAAGCGTAAACGTCTTCGGGTTTGCGTCGCGCTCGCTAAAGTACGTTGCGAGCCCGAACGCAACGATGCACCAAGTCGTAAAGGCGAGGAGCGCTGCGCCTGGTGCGTGCTGAAACATGATCTGCGTCGAGAGCCACCAGTTGAAATGCGGCGCCGGCGTCGCTTGAAAGTGTTGCTACAACATTGGTCGGCAGAACAGCGGCGACGAGGCGGATACCTCGACAATGTCCTTGCGCTTGCGGTACACCATCGAGTGGTCGCGCAAGACGCGGACGACGAGGTAGAAGCGGAGCAGCATAAAGATGGCGCCGGCTTCGAGCACCTTGAGGCTCGTGTACGGCGGCTACAACAGTTGCGCCGTGCAACGTATACGCTTGCATCGGTACGTACAGGGTGGATCGCCAAAAGTAGCCCTTCGAGAAGCGCGCGGAGCGTCATCTCGCTCGTCCAGTAGCGCATCTTGAGGCCTTCGCCCCACACGAGCTTCTTCTCGAGCGACAGCATTTGATGGAGGCGCACGAGCTGTCCGAGCAGAAGTAGCGTCGAGAGCGAGATGATGCCCTTCAGAATTGTGCTGCGGAGCGTCTCCGACACGCTACAAACGGGTGACCGATACCTGCGTAGCGCCAAGGACGTACGCCTCGTGGGATGCTGGCGGCGGCGCATTGTGCGGGTCGTTCCAAGAGAGCTCGAGCTCGGCGATCGCAAGCGCGAGGCCAAACATCGCATTGACCAGCATCTATCGTGCATCGATGATGGCACCCACGACGTCGCGAATGGAATGCAGCTGTACGAAAACGTTGTGCTGGCGAAACGCGCTGTCCATGCGCCACTCACCGACGCGGCTCTCAAGTGCACGAAAGCGGGAAAAGTTGACGGGCTGCACTTTCTTCTTGAGGCCATGATTGCCGGGTGGTAGACCTCGGGCCATGGCGGCGATCGACCCGAGCCGGTTCGTGCTCGGCTTGCGCTCGGGCGACGCAAAGAGCTGCGTCGCAAAGCGACTCACGGACCCGACGTCCCGTGCCATGCGGTGGCGGTTGCCAAAATTGGACTCAAGACAACTCCAACCACGATATTGTGCAGTAACCGAAACCCATATCTTTGCATCGACAAAAATGGTGGTGGCGCCAAAGGAGCCGGTGGGGCCGATGGCGTCGCTCCAGGCACAGATGAGCGCGACGCGCTTGGGGCTCGGGAAGCTTACGAGCCTGCTCTCGGACGACGTCGGGCAGCTCCACGGTGAAATGCACAACAAGCTGCACATGGTCCACGAGAGCTGCATCGACGGCCGCACCGAGCTTTGCAACGCACTCGACCGGCTCGAGTTTCGGTTCGAACACCATGTGCGCGGTAGAATGAGCTTTTGTTTCGAGGCGTATGGCAAAACGATAGTAGACTGCCACGTACTCGCGCAGACGGTCGATGGCCTCCGCGATTCCCTCGAGCAGCTGCAGCGCCGCCTCCGACGCACGAACGCCGACGTTGCGCAGCAGCAAGAGTTCATCGTGCAGCAAGCAAACGCGCTTCTGAGCGCCAAGCTGGACGCGGTCGTACTCGAACACGAACGCCAGCTTCGCGAACTCGAGCGACATGTGCGCGACCGCCTGCAACGCACCGACGACCAGCTCCGAGGTACATACACGGATGCATATATCGTACGGAATGGTATGGTAGAAGCGGTGGTTGGCGCGACCACGCGCTGGGCAGATATGGACGCTACGCGTACACGCCACGACCACGTACTGCGCTCGGTGTTTGACCAGCTCCGGGAACTGCGCCACGACGTGGCTGATGCGACGGCCACGCGGAACACTGGCGCGCAAGACGTGGATGCGTCCTTGTACGATATGGAAGAGGTAGCTCCGGCTTTGTATCACGCATCGATTCCAGTGGCGTGTAGCGCATGCGGCTGGACGCGGCGCGTCTCAACGATCGGTTGCAAGTACTCGAGGCGTCGCTCGCAGCGCGGCGATCGAGCGAGCTTCTGACGCTAGAGGCAGCGACAAAGGCCCGCCTGGACGGCCTCGCCGAGACGCTCACAGCTGTGCTTCGGCTTGTCCACGCGTTGCATCGCGCGCCGTAGCTTCTCAACCACTTGAATGCATCTTTGGATGTTGAGCCGACGCTAGCTTTGGATGTATTGTCGTTTGTTGTCTACGTCTTGAGGACAGGTCGCTGCTTGCGAGCCTACGCACCCGCAGCAAGCTCGTGTGGCTTGACACGCATGCAACCTCTGATTTCGTATGCAGTATGGGTTTATAGAGGAAGCCAATAACCGCGTCGATAAATGTTGGTTCACACACACTGAGAATGCTCGCGTCGACGTTGGGCCGCGGGCCTCTGCGCATGGGCAGCCGCGCGCTGCGCCGCCTGGCACCGGCCATGGCCTCGCGGACGCTCTCTTCTGCGACGCTTGATGCTGCTCCCGCAGCAGCGCCTACCGAGACGCCGGCCAAGTTTGCCAAGGAGATGACGCCGTGGGAAAAGCTAACGACAACGATCATTGGTACCGACACTGCGCGCTATCTCTGGCTCATGGCGTCGGCGTAGACGACCAGATGGACATCAAGGCGATGCAGAACGCCCAGCGGGCGGTCGAGACGCTTGAAGCCGCCTGCCCGATTGACCAAGGTACCTTAGTCTATCTTGGAGCATGCCTGGAGCGAGCATAGACGACGCCTTTATCAGCTGGCTTCGGGATACGTTCGCTGACAAGGACGCGACGTTGGACAAGGTACATGGCCCCCACGTGCTCTAACGCTCACGCAGCAGCCCAGGTTGCGTTCGAAGCCCGTATCGACGATGTCATTGCCAAGTTGCAGTCGCTCCAAGACGAAGCCTGCGGCGGCGAACCCAAGCTCTTTGATCATAACCGCTTGTCGAACGAAAAGCTCGCATCGTCCGTGCTTGGCATGCACTACCTGTACACCAAGGTCAAGTGCCAGGACATCAAGCGGTACTTTGCGCAGCTCGACAAGGACAACGACGGTATCCCACCATTCCGATACAAACGAGCTGTTCCTATACCACAGCACAGGCATCGTCGCAAGTGCGGACGTGCACGCGCTTCTCGAACTCTACGCGCTGGGCACGCCGGCAAAGTGGCTCGAACGTACGCCGCCATTCGCCTATGAAAGCCTCACGGTGCGTAGGCCACTTTGCGGTCCTCGACAGCAACCAAGACGGCGCGCTCTCGGAGGCCGAGATGCAGCAGCTGTACCTCAATATCTGCGGCGTCCACAAGAGCTTTCTCAACGACCTCTTGGACCACCACGTACGCATTCTGCTGATGGCTACGCTCATGGACGTGGCGTAGACGACGCACATGACCAAGGCGCACACCAAGCAGCGTCAGAAAGCGCTCTCCGAGTACGAGTGGACGTTCAAGCTCACGGAGAAGCTCCGGTGCATGTACCACTTTGCCGGTATCCCCAAGGACGTCCAGATCGCGCAGCCGCCGCCCGTGATTCCACCGCGCGACTCGATCGACTGGGCGCTTCTCCAAGAGTCCCAGGTGCGCTCTCCATCGCTCACTCGCCGTCTCGACTCTCCTCTCATTCTCGGGTTTCAGGCGGCCGAGCTGCCCGAGTTTGACCGCATGCTCTCGCACTACATGGCGGCCATCCACGACGCTCGGTACGTGTTTATAAAGCATTCGCTTTGTATTCACGCGACGATAGGCGCGAGTTTTACGTGCAGACGGACGCGACGCGCGTCACGCGGATCCAAAGCGGCGCGTTCCTCGTCTTTGTGACCGTCACCGACGTCCTCATCTCGCTCATGTAAGCCACCAACCGCACGACTCGAATAGACGACCCTCTTGGGCACAGCATCTCTGTTAAAAAAGACATGTTGTCCACGCTTGCAACTTGAAACATTGATACTTCCCGGTGCGCTATCACTGGTCATCCCCGAAGATCTATCACCGAATCTTCGGTTCCTATTCCATGGGCCGAAGTTCAAGTACGCACAAGCTCATGCTTTGATGCTGGGAGTTGACATCTTGATACAAATACATGCATTCAGTGGGTGCTCCACGAGCCGCGTCGACTAGCTCGTACACGGGAGCCATTGCACGTCCTCAGACGCGTTGCCCCAAAACGCCAGCGTGGCATCGAGCGACTCGCGCGCCTTGACGACCGCAACGGACGTCGGCGTGTAGGCGAGCGTGGCCGGCGCGGGAATGCTGTTGAATCGCGAGTACATGGCCATCGTGTATGCGCCCGTGTCGTGGACAACGACATAGTCGCCGGCTGCGAGCTGCGGCAAGCGCACTTGGCGTGCGACCACGTCCCCTGAAAAGCAGAGCGGCCCCGCGAGGTCCTGCGCGACGAACAGCCCGTTCCGCTTGATGGAGCCGTCGTGCGCAAAGACCGAGTAGACCATCGGCCACGTGCTCGGCAGGTACACGGAGCGCAAAAACTGGTTGGCGCCGCAGTGCAGAATCGCAACCGTGTGACCTACAGGAACGTCCCAGAGCCGCTTGAGTCGAGCGTCGCACCTTGCCAATTCTTGACGGCTTCGACGCGGCTCAGAGTCACCCCGGGCTTGGCAAAGACGCTTCGACCAAACTCCGAGATGACGCGGTAGTCGCCCGAGAAGAGTTCTGTCATCCAGAGCATTGGAGAGGGATATGTATCAAGGTTTCAAGTCACCTGGTACGTCGGCGCGCAAGAGCGACGCGTACGTGGCGTACGCGACAGGCTCGGCCTTGAGCCCGTCGTAGCTCGTGGGCACACCGCCGCCAATGTCGATGACGTCGATTTGCCGCCGACCGAGCGCGTTGTTGATGAACGAAGCGAAGGCCACGGCCCGCTTGGCGCCGGCCACGAGCAGCGAGAGGGCGCAGCCTAATAGAGCAATTAATCGTTGCTGGTTTTGCTGCCAGTTGGGACACACTGTCGTTGCACGAGTCGTACCTTGGGAGCCGACGTGGACGTGGACACCTTGAAGCCAGGGATGCGCTTTGTAGAGCGATAGAAGGCGGTCGCTGGTCTCGGGTGTCCAGATCAAACCAAACTTGCTCGTCGCCGTCGCCGTACTCGATGCTGCAATCGTGCCGCCGCCGACAACGGGGTTGATGCGCAGCCCAATCTTGGCTGTTGTCGGCTTCTCGCGCAAGAGGCGCGCAACGTGTTCGATCTCCGCCACGTTGTCGAGGTTGATGTAACAGCCGAGCGAGAGGACATTGTCGAGCTCGGCCAACGTCTTGCACGGCGAGTCGACGATGATCTTGTCGGGCAGAAAGCCCAAGCGCAGAGCGTGCATGGCTTCTGCGTACGACGCTGTCTCCAAGCCAAAACCCTACTCAACCGTGTAAGCCCGAAGGAGCCGTCGAACGCGTACGAGTGGCTGCGCATGGCGCAAAATGCCCGCCAGCGGGTTGGCCTTGATGGCCAGCGCATGCGTCCAGAACGGCGGGAACGCAGCGCGTAGCTCGTGCAACCGGCTGAGAAACATTTCCATGTCGAACAAGTCGACGACCGGGTTGGCCGCGTCGACGTAGCCGTGCTGCACGACGCGCTGCACGATGGACGCCACGCCCGCCGCACGGGCTTCGTGGCGCGCGACCTCGTCCTGGTGCATATCATCGGCCTCGCTCGGCGCCGTCTTTGTGCTGGCTTTGGGCGGTTCGTGCTCCAAGTACTCGACGAGCAGATCGTGGAGCGTCCGCGTCGGGTCCAAACCGAGCCGCTCGCACACCTACCGCATTGTGTATTGGTCCTCGACTGTCGCCACTGCACACACCTCGCTGGCGACCGCTGCCGGTGCTTTCGCCTCCGGGCCGCGCAGGGTCTCGCGGATCCTCGCGAGGTCAATGGTCCGAAGCGCTTCCATGACGTTGTGGCAAAGTGGCTCGGCCAAAAGATCGCGCACCTGGTACGCGCGAACGAATCCGCGCACGTATCCGGATATCCGGATACTATGCAAACCGTGCCACCCCGTGCCACGTCAGAGAATTCCACATCGGGGATCCGGGATGTGGAAGCTTCGCGAGGAACGATGCGCCTCGCGGATACATGCATGTACCCGGTCCAAGCTCGTCCCTGCCGCGACGCCGCTCGTCTTGAACTGCTGTAGCGAGCTGCTACTGAGTAGCACAGACGTACGTTCAACTGCAAGGTTGCTGCGCAAAGATACTGCAGTCGCCAACCTCAAGCTGATTCACATTACATGCACGTTGCGTGGCGTGCAGGCGGCCGCAAAGACGCCAGCCTCAGCACCGTTCTCGCCGGTAGCCTGGCACCCAGACCAAGCTCCGCACGCCTGCCCTCTTGGCATCTCGGACGACCGCGCCTATACGCCCACCGTACAGTGTATCGTAGTGACAGTAGTGAGCGTGCACTTGTGTGGCGCCATGGTGTCTACTCGCCATCGGCAAATAAAGTTGCCAACGACAACCTTTGTTGTCCGAGCCGTCGCCCGTTGCGACGTTGGCTTGCGTGCGTGCCGTTAAGAGCCTTTTTGTTGTGCCACGCGTCGCGGGGCGCTTTCGAGAAGTTTCTCTTGCACCCGGTGGGTCGGGCTCGTACATTCTTTCGTACGTTCCTACTACTTGGTTTTTGTATTTGGATACCATCCATTACGTGATGTACAACCGTACATTGCATCACTTTAAAAAATGGTGTCTAATCTCTTGCGTTTGTATGGAAAGGCGAGTTATTTTTATTAAGTATCCAGCGTGCGTTCGAAGTGGTGGAAATAAGAAACTTTTTCGGCCAATCCAAAGCGGCGAATTTAAGCCCGCAGCACATGTCGCAGCGTTGCATGTTCCAGCGCCCAAGAGATCATTCGCAAGCTTGCCTTCTCCATCTTCCTACGCCTTCCTCCCGCATGCCCGTGTGCTACTTTTGCCAAGCGCCGTTCGCAAGGTGTAGATGCGGTCAATGTCGTCAAGTCTACTTTTGCAACCGAGAATGCCAGATCGGCGCGTGGCCGAGCCACCGCCCCGAGTGCCATCCGACCCCGACCCAATCGCCCGACAGGATAACAACGCCGGTGCCTACTGCGTCGCCGGCCACCGCACCTGTGACGCCGACGCCTGCGATTAACAACCAAGTCGACGAGGTCGCGTCGATAGCGCAGTCGGGCCCGGCGACGCCAGAGACGCCGAAAAAGAAGAAGAAGAAGTCCAAGAAGGCCAAGAAGCACGCGCCGGGCGAAACACCGCCAGCAACGCCGCAAGCCAAGCCGATGGCGACGCCGATGACGCCGCCTCTCCATCCGCTCTCGGCGCCGATGACGCCGCCGCGCCTCCCAACGAGCGCGCCGGCCTCGCCGCCCCACAAGCCGTCGCCGACCAAGACCAAGACCAAGAAGAACAAGAAGAAGAGCCGCAGCCACAGCTGGAGCGACGACGCGTTTCCGTCACCGCCCAAGACGAAGCTGAAGTCGCAGTCGATGGGTGGCAAGATGGTCACGTGGGGCTACGTCCAAGCGCGCGAGTTCCTCCGATGCCCGGGTGGCGGAAGCGCTGTCCCCAGCGAAGGTGCGTGGGCGCTTGGCCTTGGCAAGCACGTCGGCGACGTCTCGCTGGGCTCGGTCGACAATGTCGTCTCCGCCACGGAAAAGGCCAAGTCCAACTTTGAGCGCGTCGCACGCCTCACGGAACGCGAGCGGAAGAAGGTGCTCATGACCGCCGAGGACGAGTGGCAGGCGGCCAACGCTTCGCTCGACACGGCGCCGGCCAAGTCGACGACCAACGCGCGTCAGCGCCGCCTCTCGAGTAGGCTACCCTCCCACCATCCAATGATTGAACTCACGTGTCCATCTAGTCTCGAACGACGACTGCGACGCGCACGTCTTTGCCACCTTGTCCCACGAGCAAGCGAGCGAGTTTGCGCTCATTCGCACCTCGCGTGAAGGTAGAAGAGGAGCCTCGTGGTATGGCGGCTGGACTCACTGCTACTGTGTGGTAGAGCACTGCGGGTGTTCGTGCGGCGACCTCGTCAAGAAAGTGTCCAAGATGCACATCAAGAAGCTCGTCGCGTGGCTGCACGAGCGCGACGTGGACACGGCGCACATGAGCAAGCCCGAGCTCATGATGCGCGCCAAGACGCTGGCCGCCGAAGAGAAGAACTGCGCGACCGAAGGTTCGATACCGACACCTGGCGACAAGTTCTGATATATGAGATCGTAGACTGCGAGTGCGCTCGAAACGGCGTGCCATGCCACCAAGACACGTGCTCGGGCTGCCGCGGCAACTGCGACAACCACCGCTACACGTACAATAAGGACCACGTCCACGCCTACCGCCAAGAGCTCATCGCCCAGTGGACCTGCTCCAACCAGCTCGACGTCTAAGGCACCTCATTATAATACCTTACTGCAATTCAACTCACCTCGATTGTATGAACCTCAATCTCAATCTCAACCTCAGTAATCCTACGTCGGGGCATATTCGACATTTTGAGAAAACAGGTCGGTGGATCCGGCCGTGCCGACCACAACCCCCGCGTGATTCCTCTCATGCCGGGGACAATCCTTGATATTTGACAGTCGACCGACAAGGTCGAGAGGCAAGCTGCCGACAACACTCGTCATCTCTGCCGACGCGGGGACTCAAGATCCGTTGCGGCATCGACAAGTTCTCTGTACTGCAGACTCATGGATGTAGTCGCTGTCTGGGCTTCCAGACGCTTGCTCGTCGATTGTCTGGATATGCAAATATGGACTGCGTGACTCGATTCGGAGCAGGAACATACGTAGCCGTTCAAGCAGACGACGGATCTACACACTTCATTCAGCGCGATTGAAAAAGGCAAGCTCCACCATCAAAGTGTCCAAGCCTCGAGGTGGGTGTCGAGGCGGGTGTCAACGCCGGTGCGCTGGCGACTGTGAACGGTTGAACTGCGCCTGCTGCGCGAGCTCTTGGTCGCGGTTGTTGACATTCTACCGGTAGGCCTTCGTCGTGGCCGCAATCGTCGCCGTGTTGGCAGTGAAGTCGTCCGTCGCCACCATGGTTTGGTTGAGCATCGCACCGACTCCGCCTGCCCGTTGGATGTTTGGATGTTTCGCATCTGTATCCGGATGACCGTGAGCTGGCACGCTGTGGCGCACGCATTATCCGGACCTCGCCAACCGCTGTCAGCGATGTGGACAAACTCAAGAGCAGCCAATTCGAGAAGAATGCAAATCGAATTCATAGAGTTCTCTGCTACAAGACGATGTAGTTGTCGGCCTCGCCCGTCATTTTGCGGTTCATGGCCGCGCCCGACTCCTTCCGGCGCCACCCGCCCGAGCTCGCGCTGTCCTACAAGTATGTAAGACCTTCGTATCGCAGAAGAGCACTACGTACGACGCGCGGGCGCAGCTGCTGCGTAAACTCTTGCAGCGCGCGGTGCGTGTCGAGCACGTTCGAGAGGTCCTCGACAAACTCGTTGCCGTAGCTCAGCGACTGGCGCGTCGACGGCGTCGTCTCCTTCTCCTTGGTCGTTTGCACGAGCTCGGCAAAGAGGCCCATTGGGCGATCGAGCAGCTCATTGTACGTGCCTTGGTCCACGAGCCGACCGGCGTCCATGACAAGGATCGCGTCCGCATTGCGCGTCGTCGACAGACGGTGCGTCACCGAGATGACTGTCACGTGCGTCTTCTTGGCGAGCTTGCGCAGCGCATCAATGATCGACGCCTCCGTCTCCGTGTCGAGCGCCGACGTCGCTTCGTCCAAAAGGAGCACACTCGGCTTGCGCACGAGGGCGCGCGCGAGGCAGATGCGCTGCGCTTGACCGCCACTGAGGTTGCACGTCGCGTGTTGTCCGACCACCGTCTCGTAGCCGTCCTTGAGGTTCTTGATAAAGGCACTGCACTCGGCGAGCTCGGCCGCCTTCATGCATTCCTCTTTTGTCGCGCCAATGTTGCCAAACCTACAGGGCAATATCAGACACCATCACCCAAATGTCAAAGTATCAACTCGATATTTTCGAGAATCGTGCCGTTGAGGATCCCGCCGTCTTGAAACACGACCGCGACTTGCGCCATGTAGCTCTTCTTCGAGTGCGCGGCCACGTCCGCTTCGTCCATCGTGATGGCGCCGTCGCTCGGAGTGTAAAACTGCATGAGGCACCCGAGCAGCGTACTCTTGCCGCAGCCACTGGGGCCCACAATGCATACATAGTGCCCCTGTACACCGTATCAATCTATCAAGTATACAGTAGCGCAAACGGTACCAGTGGAAACGACGCGTGCACGTCCGAGAGGTCCCAGTGGTCCGACGTCGTATCGTACTGAAAGCTGAGCGCGTGCGTCGCGAGACCGTGCTGCATGCGCTTGAGCGACGGCTTGGCATCGTCTTCCTTGTCGTGCGTCTTGTCGGCCAGCTCCTACTCCACGTTAGCATTGTATTTTGAATATTGGACAAACCATGTCCAATATACAAACGTACGCTGTAGACAATCTCGTCGAGGCGCTGGAGACTCGACGCATTCCCGATCGCGACGCGCATAAAGCCACCGAGCACCGTCACGGGCGTCGAGATGCGCGCGAGGAGCGTGACGGCCGAGAAGAAATCGCCGACCGTGATGTCCCCGTTGAAGACCTTGATCGCCAAGCACGACGTGATGATCGACACGAAGATGTACATGGCCGACTCGACGTAAATCTGGACGACGCCGGCCCAAAAGTCCTTGAGGAACTGCGCCGTGTGCAGCGAGAGCGTGCTGGCGGCAAACTTCTGCGCCAACGGCGCTTGGATCCGGTACGCGCGCACGACCTACCCTTACAATCAATACGCGCCGCGTTGGTGGACAACTTGTCCACATTTTCCCAGACCTTTTGACACGCAATCGCATTTTGAAACTCGGCCGCCACGTACGCATTCTTCGAGCCAAAGTCTTTCGAGCGTTTGGACGCGCGGCCTTGGGGGCCCGACGTGACAATGATGGCTGAGAACGCAAACGAGAGAAGGCCGGCGGTCGGCTCAAAGTAGCAGAGGAACGCAAAGCCGACGACGACCGACACGATCGGGTGCATGAGGTTCTACGACCGCTTATGAGCCATTTGTTCGAAAAGCGAGAAAATCAAAGACAAAATACCCAAAAAATGGCCTGCCACAGCGAGTTGACGCGCGCAATGTCCGACTGAAACAGATTGTTCAGGTCGCCTTCGCTGCGCTTGAAAAAGAAGAGCGTCGGCTGCGACAGAATCGTACGCAGGAGCTTGTCCTGAAGCCGCTCCGTGGCCTTGGAGATCATGAGCGCTTGAAAGTACCCCATCGAGTAGTCGACGATCGCAAACGGCACGCAAATGACGAGGATGCCAATGACACCAATCGCCAGCGTCTGCTCGGGCTTGATGTACGCGAGCGTAATGTCGTTGCCTTGCTGGTCCGTCGTCACGTTCTGGTATGTGACGGCGCGCTCGATGCGGTAGTTGGTCGCTACACAGGGCATATCAGATCTGATACAAACTTGATACAAAGCCCTACTCGCATTGTAGATGGCCGTGTCAATGACCGACTTGGGGAAGGCGTAATCGCCGAGAATCTGCATGAGGTACGCAAGCCCCGGCACGATGGCTGCATGCACAAGCACGACCACGATCGTACAAAAGAGCGCGCCTTTCTGGTTGGACCAGTGGCGCAGCGTCGACTTGATCACGTCCAAGGCGCCGTAGACAAACTGGGACGACTGCGCGTCAATGTCGCGGAGGTACGACAGAAACATGTTGGCCGAGATCTCTTTGGGGCGGTAGTACAGCGCCCGTTCGAGGAACTGCATGAGCTCGGCGCGGCTCATGTCGCCGTCATTGCGCCCGCAAATGATCGTCAGATCCGTTTCCATCATCTCGATTGCAGCCTCCGTGATGTTGGGAATGCGACGCAGCGACGACCGGAGCGACGCCATCGAGATGAGCAAGTGGTCCGAGTCGGCGTACCGGTGCAGCTTCTTGGAGAAGATGCGCGCACGCGGCTTGAAGATGATGCGTGCGGACGCGAGGAGGCAGTAGAGCGCGGTCCAGTACTGCTCGTACTGGTTCGTCTTGTACTTGGGGTACAGCTCCGACTGCGGCGCGTCATAAAACCCGTTCTCCGAGATGACGACCTTGGAGAGCGCATCGAAAAACACAAACCTGCGCAAGCTCATTATGGACGATGAAGAGGTGAAGAGACATACCGCGCCGCCAAGCAGCCCGCGAGAAGCAGCAGCGCAAGCAAGTCAAACATGGACGACGGCGACCGGAAGAGCGCGCCGCGCAGTGACACGACGCGGCAGAGCATCTCGAGGAGGTAGAGCACCATGAAGCCGCACGAGTAGAGCCGCGTCTTGAGGCCCCACTTGTAGAACGTCTGCTGCGACGTAAAGGCCACCGCGACGCAGTTGCCGAAGAAGTCGCAAAAGAGCAAGAGCATGTAGACATAGTGGAACTGGCGGTTGTCGATCATGCGCAGGCAGCCGACGCGACCGCTCTGGCCGGCGCCCGCAGGCGTGGCCGCGCCCGTCGGTCGAGGTCCTTGTGGCTTGGGCTTGTTGTCCATGGGCGCACCAGTGTTGGACTGCTTGTGCGTCCCCTGCTCCTTCTGCCTCATCGCGAGTAGAGAACAGCCAAAGGGCCAGCTAATATTGCCCAGTCTGTTTCTGTCGAACACTACCCGATTGTACGGCACGTACGTTTTATCTCTGTTTTTGTATGAATGTACGTGCCGTACAATACATGTACGATCCGGCACGTCCGGTCCGCATTATCCGGATGCTGTCGCACAGGATCGGGATGGCGACCGGTAACGTCGCGCACTGGCGCGCTGCGGCTTCCCCCACCCGCCAAGCGATATATGTACAGCAGCGGCCTCATGGCCATGACGTCCTCTATATGATACAGTGAGGCCCTCCTCGTGAGAGTGGGAAGACAACGGCGAGGACCGCAGCAAGCTGAAGCATGGAAGAGGTTGTGGGAGGATCATCCACCCCTTGCGACGTCGGAATGCGAACGCTCGTCGAAGCCACGACCAACAACGACGGCAAGCTGTGCAGCTGTCGTGAGTGAGCCCTGACGCTGGCTTGCCACAAGTGGATTTCTGTCCTTCATATATATTTGCTCGTCGCCATATCAGCTGGATGACGTGAACGGGTGCCTCTCGTCCTGCACCATGTCGGTGCTACAACCGTAGTACAAAGTGTGCAATCGCGCCACTGCAGGTCGGCTGACGCTGTCGGCTGAGTGCACGTATGCTGGGCGCTGTGCCGGCGTTGTGACCGGCGGCGTGTGCACCCAGGCTGCACATCGAAATATCGAAACGTCATGTTTGTCCCAGTTTTGCCCAACTTTATCCGGACTCGGACATTGGGACGATGCTGGAGCTGGTTGTCGTGGGCGGCAGCTACGTCGGCTTCTTCGCCTTTGCCCACATCTTCTTCTCGCGATGGCTCTTCCAGGACTACGAGGTCAAAGACACGGGCGTCTTCTCGCGGCTCATCTTCTGCGTCTGCCTTGCGTGCTCGATGAGCATTCTCGAGGTCGTCATCTTTGAGCTTGCGGCAGTTCTCGACAGCGAGACGCGCCAGCTCGTGTGGCAGCTCGACCTCGTCGTGCTCGCGTTCCTCATTGCATACCTCATCCCGTTCGTGCTTATCTTTACGTTGGCGCGCGAGCAACAGTGCCGGCGACGCACGGCGCTCCTGCTCGCGACAACCTTTGAGCTCGGCTTTCTCTACGCGTTCTGGAAGCTCGGCGACTACGTCACGCTCGTGCAGGACGCGACGCCGCAGCCCACGACGATCGCGTGGTTTGTCTCGCTTGAGGCCTTTGTGAGCCGTGTGAGCTTCCTTGGCGTCAACTTCATGGCGGTCCTCTCGGGCTTTGGCGCCGTCAATGGCCCGTACGAGTACATGAGCATGTTTTGGCGCACCGTCGAGGAAGACGACGTGCGCTGCCTCGAGAAGCGTCTGCGCCAGAACCTCGAGATGGTCGTGACCAAGAAGAAGCGGATCGTCGTCGAGCGCCGGTACGTGGCGAGCACCGAGACCACGTCGGGCCGGGCCAACCCGCTGCTACGCTTGTGGCACTGGGTCTCGCCGCAAGAGTCGAAAGGTATGGAGATTCTGTCCGATCTTTGTTTTCCATAAATGCTGCCTATAGAGTCGTACCTGCAAAACGTACAGAAGGAGGTCGAGATCCTCGAGACACTGAGCCAAGAACTCTTCTTGGAGATCCACGCGATGCGCGAACTCCAGGTGCGCACAGCAACGCAAGGCACATGCCTATAGTGTGGCGTGTGTAGAAGCGCGCGGCTGAGATGCGCACGCTCAAAGGGCGTTTCTTCAACCTCATTGGCTACCTCTTTTGCGGCTTTTGCCTCTACAAGATGGTCATGAGCACGGTCAACGTCGTCTTCAACCGCGACCGGGACAAGGACCCGATCACCAACGCGATGGAAAAAATACTGTACCTCTGGCCAGCGCTCGCGTCTTGGGTACTTGTCGTTACGTCCTCTTGCGATAACCCAACGCGTAGATCAATGTCCGCTTCATCTCGGACATTTCGTCGCTGACGCTCGTGGGCATCCTCGTGTTTACCCAGACCCGCGGCTTTCTCATCATGCTCCTCAAGGTAGGACGCGCGTTGTGTGGCGGAAGGACATTATAGTGTGTGTACTAGGTGTTCCGGACGTTCTCGAGCAGTGTCTCCAACAACTCGGTCGTGCTCTTCCTCGCCGAGCTCATGGGCATGTACTTTGTGTCTTCGTTTGTCATGATGCGCATGAACCTCCCGACGCAGCACAAGTAAGCGTATCGGTGGCGAGATCATGGACACGATTGGCGGCTGGTATGTAGACGCCATATCGATGCGGTGCTCGGGCCGATCGACTATTACGTGTACTATTGCTGGTTCGACGTGCTCTTTGTCGTCAGCGCCCTTGTGAGCCTCGGCCTCCTCGCGCTCGTCACCATGTCCAAGGTCTCACGCACGGCCATTGACAGCTTTACGCTCCACGACAAGTACCCGTAACTTAGCCGAAATGCAGCGACCCTTTGCCTTCCCATGTGGCGAGGTCCGACGATCGAAACTCGACGGGACCGGACGGCCGGCGGGCGGCAGGCGGCCCGACGTTGGCAAAATCCATACCGCCGTCAACGACGCGCATCGACTTGGTCTTGCCACGCGGCTCAAACGTCGTGTTGGACAGCACGACGGGTCCCGACGAGCTTGGCGCTGACCGGCTGAGCCACGCATCCGCCGAGGCTTTGCGCTTGCCCGACTTGGTCGACGACTTGCCGGACGCACTGGCCAACGAAAACGACGCCGGCATCGCATACTTGGCACCTAGACACGAGTCAAATCCTGAGCTTACAATGTCGCACACGGCGTCGTACTGCGAAAGGTGGCGACGGGCGATGCCTTCTTGGACTTGCTACTGTAGCGCGCGCCTTTCCCGCCCTTCTTGCCGCGTTTCGAGGGCTTGCCCGACTCAAAGCCGGCATCGGGGTTGCGCCGTTGCTCTTCCAGTCGCTTCTTGGACTCGCGCTGGCGCTTGACGCGGCGATCGCCATAACTTTTGCCGTTCCTACGACAGAAGCACATCAGACAACGATACGTAGGACGATGCAGCAACCGGTTGGCACCAAACATGTTGAGGTAGTCGATGCCCGGGTCGCTCGCGGTTTGACGCGCTTGCAGACTCGCGACCGATGTAAAGTGCTTGAACTCGCGCAGCGCCGGCGGAATGTCCCGGGCCGAGGGCAGCATCGCGACGACCTCATTGTCCGAGACGTCTTCGATCGAATCCGAGTCGTAAAACTTGGCCACGGCGCGGGGCTTGGTCAAGTCCACAACGGCCGCGGCCTCGTCGTTCGAGTCGTCACCAAAGTGGAACATGTCCTCGCCGTCGTCGTCCACGTCCCTACGCAAGAGGCGTCAGAGGGGCGGTCGCTTCATGTGGCATCGCACCTCAACAGCACTTGCGACGACCCGTCGTTCTCTAGCGCACAACTGTCAGCGGCATGGACTAATGTAGAGCGAGCAGTACCTCGGGACGAATCGCAGAGCGTGCACTTGTGTGGGTCCTTGCCTTCGACGTTGGTGCAAATGTTGCACGTCCACGGCACGTCGTTCCGCACGCTTGCAGCGTCGGCCGCGATCTTTCTCGGTGCAGCACATATGGCACACGCCAGACCGTTCGGGTTTTCGTTGACGTAGGTACACTGCTCGCAATTCCAGCCGTGGCGAACGGGGCTGCTTGGCAGGCTGCTCGGCGACGAAACCAGCCGCCGGGGGCGGAGCGGGCTGCTTCTTGGAGACAGTCCGTGTGATCGAATGGGACTCTCCAGTGGTGTGCTGTCGACCACGGGGGCACGTCGGCGCACGGGGCTTCTTCGCGGACTGGGGCTCGTTCGCGACTCGTGGGCGAGTGGTTTGCGGAGGCGCCGGGGCACAATAACGACGTCCTTCTCGTCGTCGTCTTCGCTCGAGTCGTCGAGGAGTCCCACTTGGCGCATCTTGGCAAACGGCGACGGCCGACCTGCCTTACGACCGGACAAGGCAAGAACGGGCGAGTCGATCTCGTCGTCGTCGGCGTCGACGCCAGCGTCGTCCTGGAAGAACGACCGACGAGCGCTACGAGGCGGCGTCACGACCACGTTGTCGGGCAATGGCGCCCGAGCTCGTGCTGGCGAGGCGACGACGGGACGCTTTGGCCTCTCCACCAGAGTTGGTCGATGAAGCGGGGATTCGGGAGACGAATCGTACGCAGCGCGGTTCACCACGGAAAGCCGTGGTGGGGATGCCACAATATCATCATCCGGTATCGTTCGGGCCACGCTAGTGTAAGGTACGGGGCTCGTCACAGCGGCTTGTGGCGGCACCAAGGAAAAGGCTGGTGGCGATTCGATTGCCGGTGGGGCCACCATGCCCAGCATGTTGAATTGAGGTGGACTCTCGGGTGGCAGCAGGTTGAACGTTGGGGCAGCGACCGGCGCAGCAGGCATGTTTGCGAAATCGAGCAGCTGAAAATTCGGCGCTTCGCCGTCGTCCGTGTCCAGCGCAGGCGCCACAAACGGTCGCTCGCTCTTGACGACGGCAGATGCAGGCTCCGGGTCGTCGCTCGCAGCAGGGCCATCGTCCGACGGCGTCAGGTCCAGCCCATGATCGTAGTCGAGATCGGCGGCCGGTGGATCGTCTTCGTACAATGGTTGAGCTCTTGGCGACGGTATCGGCTCGGGGGGCGCCTCGTGCGCTTGTACGTGGTCTGGTTGTACCGAGTCGGGTATCTCGGGGTCCGGTAGCTCTGACTGCTCCGGCTCGGGTCGTGGCGTCTCGACGACGGGCGGCGGCTTAGTCTTGCGCGGCGCTGCCATCCAACGACCCATTAAGTCGGCAGCCGTGTGCGGACCGTTCGACTGCGTCAAGGCCGGAAGGGTCGGGGGTGCTGCGGTTGTCGACGCTGGCGTCTCGGTGGGTCGCACTACTGTCCTCTGCAGTCTGGGAAATACCACAGTCGACTTGGCACCGAAAAAGAAGCTGCCGAGCGGCCGGGGTCGCTCGATGGAAAGCAGACGCGGGTTTCCAGCTGTAGACGCTTCTTCCGGGTCGTTCTGCGGCGGTGTTTGAGGGACGAGCTCGTCTTTGGGCAGGGCCGGCGCCCATGGCCGCAGCAAGCCGGCCTTTTTTGTCGCTCGAGCCGGCACTTTAAGGCTTGGCGGTGCTGGTGAGGCTTCTAGTCGCGCTGGTGGCGGTCGTTTCTCTTCGTCGTCGTCGTCGTTGATGTTGGGTTCGGGCGCCGCTGTCTGGGAAGCGCCCCAGCCACTCGCCGTTCCTCCGCGCAGCGCCCGCTGGCCCGGATCTTGGGTCCGCGGTCGCTTCTGCTCGGGCGACGACGGCGCTGGGGGATCGAACTGGCTCATCATAGGCGCCGCTGGCATGCTCAGACGGAGGCGCTTCTTGGGCTTCGTCGGCAGCGCCTGCGACAGCTGGGAGAGCGCGTCCGATGGCGCGTCCGGCCGCGCCGCCCCGCAGGCCGCGCACGTCTTCCGCTGGTAGCCGTTCAGGAGGGTGCACATGCTGCACTCCCACTCCTTCGTCCGCCCCATCCGCCGGGCCGCGCGGCCTCCGTCGGTCGCTTGGCTCGCCCCGGGGCTCTCGCTCATTCCCGTTTTGGCGCGAGCCTCAGACGTTGCGTTATCCGGACAATCGCGCTGTCCGTATAATGCATCATGGCTATTTCCACGCCCGTTACTGGTCCATAGGCCATTTCCTTTGCATCAATACGCGCCTTTGGGTCTACGTCTAGCGACCTATTTGATAGAAAGCATCTCATTAAGCGCACTGGACGTCGGTGCGATACCCTGGGTGACGTCTATGGTGCATAATGCGGAGGCGGGACATTAAGTTGCGTGGGATTAGCCTCTTCGTTGGCGGAAAGATTGAGTTTTGGCCAATCCGCGACAAGTCGGTTCGGCGAAGCGTCGGCAATCTTGGATTCGCATCGGCCATGTCGGGCCCCAACTTGACCTTGGAGGAGGCGAAAGCATTCCTGCGCCTGGACCTCGGCGGCGTGAACCTGTACGACCACCTCTCGGACGTGCTCTTGCGCGTGCTCGTCGAGCGGCCCAACGACGCGGTGAATGCGTTCGAGCACCTCTCGTGCACGGTACGCCAAGAGCGCTTCAAGCGGCCAGCCGAAGCGATCGCTGCCGAGAACGCCATCGACGCCCAAGCGGTACGTGGTATGTAGCCATGGCGCCTAGTCGAGCTCTGCATGAGTAGAAGGCGCAGCAAGAAGCATGGGGCAAGGCGGCAACCAGCCTACTCAAGATACAGAACGGCGACGAAGAGGTGGCGCCCGAGACGCCGACAGGCGTCGCCGACCTCTTGGACGAGGCCAACATGTTTGAGTGGGCGGGCCTCGGCTTTTCGCGCGGTGAGACGTTCCGCCTCTCACTCGCACTGCAGAAGCTCGCGACGGTCAACACCACCGTCAAGCTGCGTTTCTGGGGCAAGATCCTTGGCATTGGCACCGACTACTACGTTGCAGAAGGCGAGCTGCCGGAACCCTACGAGCCGGAAGACCAAGACGCCGAAGAAGGTGCCAACGGCCTCAATCGAAACACGTACTGGGTCATGAAGGACAATGGTAACAGGCATCTCATGCACCAACGAAGCTACGGGACTCTTCGTAGGCACATACGAGTGGGTGCAGCTACCGCCGGTGCGGCGCGACCAGATCCTCGCTGCCCGCGCGCTTCGTCGCTTCGTGCGCAGCAACCTCGAGGGCAAGGTACACGCGAGCTACTCTGAGCATACGAAACGAGGTGCTAGGTGCATGGCCACCCGCCGTTTCCAGGGACGGAGAAGAACTTCTTGCGGGCGCAAATTGCCCGCATTTCGTCGTCGACCGTGCTGTGCCCGGCCGGGTACTTTGTCGTCACGGAGGAAGGAGCGATCGAGCCACCCGAGGAGGCACCTGAGGCCAAGTCGGCCGCCGAGCTCGCCGAGCTTGGGACGTGGGTGCACTACACCAAAGAGATCAACGACAAGTACGGGCGCAGCGTGGCGCTGCCGCCGAAGACCAACGACGACGGCGAAGAGGTACCGTGGGAGGGCGAAGAGTTAGTCGAGCCGTTGCGGGCGCTTTCCGAAGACAAGCCAAATTCGTGGCGTGTCGAACGGGTGCCTACGACGGTCTCGGCGGCCGTCGGTGAGATCGCAGTCGTCAAGTCGCTCGTGTGGCCCGGCGCCGTGACGCTCGGCGTCGGCAAGAAGTTTCTCAATGTCTACGTTGGCCATGGGCTCAAGGCCAAGTTTGGCGCCGACCACCAAGTGCAGTTGCCCAAGCCGCTCCAGGTCGACTTTGGCGTCGCGCCCGACGGCGACAACGACGCCAAGCTCAAGTTTACCAACTTGCAAGAGCAGCCCGACGTGCTCGTGGACCCGTCGCCGCCCGAGGACCCGGACGCCTAAAGACTGACAGGATGTATACAAGCAATCGAAGTCTATTCTCGTGTGTCTTAGTAGTACGTGTTGCGCTCGATCCAGCCGGGCGTGCGCACCATGCGGCCCGTGTCCGGGTCGACAGTCGTGACCGAGGTTTCGCGCAGCATGTACTTGCGCATCTCGTCGACCGAAAAGATGAGCAGCGTGAACGGCATACCGCAGAACCAGTGCGTGAGACGCATCGAGCCCGTCGAGAAGATCGTGTTGAAGAAGCCCGAGTAGCTCATGATCGCGCCGATGAGCGTTTCAAACATGAGGCCCATGAACATCACGTCGTTGCGCATGCCCTGCGTGAAGAGCGAGAGGTACCGCGTCTTGCAGATGAGCAGGTTGCCCCACTGGCTCATAATGACCGCGACAAAGTACGCCGTTTGGGCAATCGCGAGCGCCTCCGACTGCATGACGCGCGAGAGCACGTTCGAGTACGTCGTGCCGCTCGTATCCGTGTACGTAAACCCGGCAGCAAAGTCGAGCAAGCACGCGACGCCCGAGCACGACACCGACCCGTCCGCGTTCTTGACCTGGCGGACGTACGTGGCCTTGCTGTACTTTTGGTCGCCCATCGGCGTCGTCGTCGCGCTCGCCGTGCCGTTGGCCGAGACGATCGCCACGAGCTGGTCCTTGAAGTTGTCGACGTAGTCCGAGTTACTGAGACCGCCGTCCGTATCAGTCGACGTCGCCGCCCAGACACCAAACGGTTGGTAGCTCGCCATGAGCTCGGGGGTCGCGCTGCCAAGACCCACAACGTCCGAGCTGGTCACGTCGTACTCGAGGTACGTCTTCTTGAAGAAGCTCGACCGACGCGCCTTCATCGGTGTGTACGGGTGGTAGCCCGCGGCGTAGGCCGCCGCCATCGATTGGTACGTCGGTACCGCGTTCTTGCTGGTAAACGAGCCATACGTGGTCGGGTTGAACTTGTCAAAGTTGCCGGGCTTGGAGTCGCCGCCAACAAAGTTGCCGACCGCATACTGGCAGTCGACGAGCGTGCCATCTTCCTTAGGGTCCCAGAAGATCTGAGCGTCAAAAATGTTGCCGCCGGTCGGAATCGTAGCGTTGTACGTGAGACCGCACTTGGCATCGGGGCCAAACGCACCGAGCGGCGTATCGAGCGACTTGCCACCGGCCGAGCAGTAGACGCCACCGTCAGTCTTGCACCACATGACATGGCGACCGTAGTAAGCGCCACCAAGACCCGGAAGCACCTTGGGCGAGTAGCCGTAGCTGTTCATGACCGTAAAGTAGCAGAACATGCCGGCCGTCGCCTCAATGATGCCCATCATGAGGTACGAGAACGTAATGAGCTTCTTGGTGACGAGGCGGTCGACGGCGGCGTTGCGCGGCGGGCGGAGCATGATGTCGTTCTCGGCGCCTTCGTACGCCATCGAAATCGCCGGCACCATATCCGTGCCGAGGCAGATCGCAATCATGAGCAGCGCCGTGAGCGGCAGCGGCACGTTGATGATGACGTTGAGCAAGACCGGGACGAGCTCGGGGATGTTGGCCGCCAGCGCATACGCAATCGACTTCTTGAGGTTGTCAAAGATGATGCGGCCTTCTTCGACGCCGCAGACGATCGAGGCAAAGTTGTCGTCGAGGAGGATCATGTCGGCCGCTTCCTTGGAGACTTCCGAGCCCATGATACCCATGGCGACACCAATGTCGGCCTTCTTGAGCGCCGGCGAGTCGTTCACGCCGTCACCAGTCACGGCCACAATCTCCTTGCGGCGCTGGCAGTTCTCGACAATGATGAGCTTCTGCTGCGGCGACGTGCGCGCAAACACAATCTGCGGGTGGTCGAGGATGCGGTCCCACTCTTCCTCGGGCGTGTCTACCGAGATGGTCCAGCCAGGCACGACGATCGCACGCGCGCTACTCGGGTCCTCGTACAAGTTTCCCGCCGCGTTCGACTCTTCAATGTCTTCCTTCGTCGGGCCCCACAAGATGCCGACCTTGTGCGCAATGGCCTTGGCCGTCACGGGGTGGTCGCCCGTGACCATGATGACGCGGATACCGGCCGTCTTGCACTTCTCGACAGCGCCAAGCACCTCGGGGCGCGGCGGGTCGATGAGCGCCATGAGGCCGACAAAGCAGAGCGGCTCTTCGACGTTCTTGAGCGGCGTCGGGATCATGTCGTAGTCGACGTCCTTCTCGCCGAGGGGAAAGTTGGGGTTGTCGGTCGAAAATTCGTACGAGTGCGGGTACCGCGCGACGTCGAGCGACTTTTCCGCAAAGCCGAGCACACGCATGCCGCGCTTCGAGAGCTGGAGTTGAAGGTCGTCAATCTCAGCGAGGCGCTCGGGCGTCATCGGGAGCTCCTGGCCGTTGATCATGACCGAGCCGCAGCGCGCCGTGATGCGCTCGGGCGCGCCCTTCATGACAAGCAGCAAGTTCTTGGACTCGTCGTCGTCGAGCTTGTGGATCGAGACTTGGTACTTGTTTTTCGAGTTGAACGGAATCTCCTTGACCTTGGGGCACGCCTTGCGGTACTCCATGATATCGCGCTTGTCCTGGACAAACTTGATCATGGCCGACTCGGACGCGTCGCCGATCGTCTCCCAGTTGATCTTGTCGTTAACCTTGAAGACGAGCGGTGCGCCACGCGAGATCGAGTCGCCGTCAGCCGACACGATCGACTCAAACTTGGACTCTTCGTCAAAGACCGCATTGTTGCACAGCGTCGCGCAGCGCTGAAGGCGCACAAAGCTGTCGTCCGCGAGGTTGTAGCTGGGCGTCGGCGTGAGCGAGCACTCGGCGTCGAAAATCTTGTTGTCGTACACGACGTTGGCGACCGTCATGATGTTTTGCGTGAGCGTGCCCGTCTTGTCCGAGCAAATGCACGTCGTGGACCCGAGCGTCTCGACGCCCTGGAGGTTCTTGACGAGCATGTTCTTCTTCGACATGCGCGACGCCGCGAGCGAGAGGCACACGGTCACGGTCGCGAGGAGGCCTTCGGGCACGTTGGCGACAATGATGCCAATCATGAACGCGAGGTTGGTCGAAAACTCGAGCTTCTTGATAAAGCCCACAATGAAAAAGATGACGCCGGTCGTGACAGCGACGCCCGTGATGATGTGCACAAAGTGGTTGATCTCGCGCGCGATCGGGGTCAGCTCCGAGCCCGTGGCGGTCGCAAGCTTGGCGATGCGGCCCATGACAGTCGAATCGCCAATGTTGACGACGATGCCCTTGCCGTTGCCTTGCGGAATGAGCGTGCCAAAGAAGCACAGGTTCTTCGTCTCGAGCGGGTTCTCGTCCGTGCAGTGCGGCACGCGCTTGATTGGCTCCGACTCGCCCGTGAGGCACGAGTTGTCGACCAAAAAGTCGTCCGAGCACTCGACGACGCGGATGTCGGCGGGCACCTTGTCGCCGCCCTTGAGGAGCACAATGTCGCCGCGCACCAGCTGGGATGCGTTGATCTTTTGCGACTTGCCGTCGCGGACGACCGTGATCATCGTGGGCATCATGTTCTTGAACGACTCCATGAGGTTGGACGACTTGCGGTTCTGAAAGTACGAGAAAAACCCGGTGACGAGGATCGTCACGAAGAGCGCGGTCGCCGTGTAGAGCTGCGTGATGTCGTACGCGAGGAAGTAGCAGCCAAAGCACGCGGCCGCGCCGACAAAGAGCAGGATCGAGAAGAAGCCCGTGAGCTCGCGGAAGAGCTTGATCCACTCCGAGACCTCCTTGGGCGGCGTGAGCATGTTGAGGCCTTCCTTCTGCTTGCGCATCTCGACGTGGTCGGTCGACATACCGACCTCGGGATCGGTCATGAGGTCAGCGCAGAGCTCGGGGATGCTGATCTTGTGCTCGGTCATGACAAGCTCACGCCGAGCATCATGCTGGTCGTTGCCGCCCTTCTTGCCGCCCTTCTTGGCCTGCTTGCGCGCCTCCATGCGCTGGCGCATCTCGGTCGAGACCGCGACGATGTCGGCCGACGACCGCTGGTGCATGGACGCCCGGTGGCTGCCCGCGCGGAGCCGCGCGCTCCCGGCCCGCTCCCGCAAGCTGTTCTGCCGCTCCATGGCTTGAGGAAGAAATCGAAAGTGGTTGCAGGCCGGGCGCAAATTCGATTTGGTGGCTTCACATACCTCTTACATCCTATACTCTGTTGTTTATGATGCTTCCCTACCTCGTATAAAACAGAAAAGACCACGGAGAAGACCTTTGAAACTGGATACCTGTGCAGAATGCAATTTTAGTATCCTAGTCCACAGCATAAAAGGGCACCTTGGCCAGATGTGGTTGGGCTCTGACGGAGCTCCCGCGAGTTACGCCTGCGGCGCGCCATACGTTTTCAATGGACAGCAATATCGTACATTCATACAAACAATACGATAAATAGTACGTACATTGAGCGTACGATGTGTAATGCACGGCTACATTTGCACACCGGACAGCTGGCCAAGGATGTGGCGTGATCTGAAGCGCGATATCCATTGAATTTTGACCTTGGCGCTCCACATCTCTTGGCCGTCGGCCCATATGGAGCCAACTGTGGCCGGCAACAAACGCCCACCTTGCAGTGGCCAGCGCTTTGACACAACCATGGTGGGATGACCTTGTATGCTCTCTGCGATGCAAAATACGTTGTTGGCGAAAAGGGGGCATGGAAGCCTTTCGCAGCGGCTATCAACCATGGCTCGGACCGACGCAGTCCACCAAGAAAGGTTCCCTGAGAGAACGCACGACGTAACGTGTCACGATGGAAGCCATGGAAGCTATGGATGACGCCAGCAGATGCACGCGCACAGAGCATTGCAAAGGCGGGCGTCAACGGCCTTGGCGCCAAGCTTTTGCACGCGTCCTCCTGCATTATCATCGACCGAAGTTTGCTATATGGTAGCAGCGATTTCAGTGCAAGAAAAATAGTTGGCGCCGATGTCAAGGCAAGGGTGGTCTGCGAGCGTTGCCCTTCTGTACGGTCTGAATGACGTTTCTGGGTGTACTACGGTACAGTGCAATTGGACGAGAGCCGTTCATTTCGACACTTCAATCCACTTGGATACTCTCAAGTGTGGTATTGTGAGGACGGTTCAATGCCTTGTGTATTATCGATCGTACTAAGCTCGTGTTGCTTCAACCATGCACGTGTTGAAGATACCGCGACAACGCAGGCATTCGGTGCCTCAGCGCCCCCGCTTATGTATCATCAGGGTGGCGCAATGGGGAGTGTTGGGAAGGCATCGCATGTCTACCTTCGACACAATAGCACTCGATAAAGTGTACTGGTATTCCTACACTCCTTGTCCCGGCACCGGTACCTACAGGCTCGATGGTTTTCCTTTCGCCGAGTCGGTGACTGTGCTTGACGTGTACTCGCATCAACACTTACCCTACGATCCCATGCCCTACCCGTACCAGTACGCATTGTGTCGTGACCAGGAATGGAGACACAATGAGGTCGCCCGTCATGTTGAGGCGTTCACACATTCCCTGCAAGTGTGTACATGGGTAATGTTAGGGAAGGAGGTTGGGATGGTCTACTAGCTCTTCACCAACGAACGATACTTAGCAAGCTGCCTTGACAACTCGAACCATCGGCGAGGATTGATCTGGGTACCAGTACAATTGGCCTCCGCTCATGATCTCGGTCACACGGCCAAGGACGCCGCATCGGCACGTCGCTAATCTACAATTGCCCTTCCACACGCGCCAACTCGTCAACGTGGCTCGTAAAGCATTCAACAACGTATGCTAGTACATCAGTAGCTGCTCCAGGTGTACTAGTACAGGAGGTTTCTGCCCTTTTATGCCGTGAACGAACAGGAGCCAGAGGGTGCGTCTCCGTGGACACAACTGCAGCAACTCACCGACCACATATTCGCGTAGTACGGTACGGTATTGACAAGATTGCCGAAGGATGTACTTGAACTCTATCCATCACGAGGCAGTAATCGACTTGCGTCCTCAATGACGTGGGAATATGATCGCGATCGGCCGACACGAGTGCCGTTGCTTGCACTCTTGCGCACGGCTTGGCTCAATAATGGGGGTGGCTAATAACTGGCGACGCTGCATCGAGTGGCGTTGCAGCAAGGTCCGCGAAAACACGTCCAAAAAGCCGTGCTGAGCGATGTGTCGCGCGTTCGAAAGCCGGACGCTTCCCGGCAACCAGTATTGGTAGGAATGTTCAGTGCAGACAATGATATTACTGTGCATTGTTGTACTTGAGGTCTAGCTGCTACATTCAATATCGCTCTCAATATGAACAAGTCCTGTGTATGTATAAACCCCCTCGGACCGCAACGCGCCGAGCATCGGCATCGCTCGTGCGACAGGCGCAATTCCTGTTGCCGTTTCGGCGAAGCAGAACGCAATGTAGAAATCGCGCCATCTTGATACTACGCTTCCGATTGGCGGACCAGATAATCTTTCAGCCAATCACCGACGTCCCACGCATCCCGCTCGGACCGGCTACTTCTCATGCGGTTCGACGATCCGAGACGCATGTAATACAGTGCAAGAACCCACCATCCTCCGCGCTTCTCTCTGAGCGTCCTGCGTCCTTCTCGACCTCGGCGCTGCTCGTATATTGGACGCGGTCGATGATGCTAGTTTCCGGTGCCGTCGTCGTGTCCGGATAGCGACGGAAGAGGCTCGGGCGCCTGGTTTGTATGGAGTCCTGCTGTTTTCAGGCCTGTAAAGTTGGGCGACCGGCATGAAATATTAAAATATCAAATTATAATAATACATCGCCTGTTACTCACGCGCGGCCTTCATACGACGTATTGATAGTCGCCGGAAACCGC